ATGCTGAAAATTCCAGCATTGCATCGCATACCACCGGTAAAGGACATACCTTGGTGGAAGCAGAACGAGTCTTTTCATAATTCACAGGGATAGCACCAGATCAGAGCTATTAATATAAAAGTCTGCTCTCATTCTGGCACGAAAACATGACATGTGCAATAAATACTCCTCGTCCTTGCATATAAATTAAAGTTGGAGTGCTAAGAAAAATAACACAATTCGCAACCTGAGTGACATACGACTACTGCTCCCGATTACCTCGTAATCGTGCCCATACGCAGACCTGAGTTCTTCATTTACTCAATCCTGATGCTGTCAACGGTGATGGCAACGGTTCCATATCTGTTTTACGTTTGGGTTTCCTAACCACCTATCACGAAAACTCTCTGCTGATGAATTTGGGTCCAGAATCAAAAACCCGTGAATAAGGTTCTACTAAAAGAAGCAAAAAAATTTACACACAGAATAGGGAACATAGCCAAAGCCACGGTCATATATTAGAAACAGGATATAAAACAAAGCGTAACATAGCACCAAAAAATTAACAATGTTAGAAAAAAATTGTACATTGTGCTTTCAGGGAACGACTCGAACTGGAACTGATACCTCAACTACTATACAAGCATCTAAAAGTTGTGGTTCAATTTCTTTAATCGTACAGAAAAACAAGATTCTCTTAGGGTCTCGTTCCCGCGGTAAAACTTTGAACACTGATCATTCTATGACCGATGAGGGACGGTCAGGGATTCGCGAATCTACTGATTATAGACCGTCCTCCTCGTTCTCGCTAGTCAAGTTGTCTAATACGGTCCGATTGGCCGCTTTACCGCATAATCAGAAGCGTATGAGTCGACACGGTCATGCTGACTTTCTCAAGGTCCCCGCAACCCACTTTAAAGCATGTAGAGGCATAACTATTTTTCTATTGTAAAACTAAACGAACCATGCTATAGCATAATTACTCTACTGCTGTAATGGTGTTAACGTACCAACGCGGATTAGCGAATGGACACAGGATTCGGCCTTTCGCTTGCCATGACCCAGCATAGCACCACATCATGCTTGTTTAGACGACCTGAGGCGAAGAAAATTGCTTATCTGATCAGGGGATGGAACTACGCCTTTTTTGGATCTGGTTAGTTGTAGGTTCTTTAGGAAACGGGATGCGGAAGCCGGTGTGGATTCGTTTCATCCGACTTGTCGCAGCAAGACCGACTAGTTATTGATGCCTGTCCAACCATGACGGGGGAAGAGCCCATTTCGACGATAGTTAAAATGGCAGCTGAACTGAGCCCAATATTTCTGTCAGAGTGGTCGAAAGGCGCATGCTATCGTCGCAGAATGGTCATGGTTTTGGTCCGTAAAACTTGAAAGGGTAGAGCCTTGCTTCGACGAGCAAACATGACCAAATATTCATAGTCAATTAGAAAGCAGTTCATTAAATAAACAGAAGTTCATCAATTTCCGAAACTAGTGCACCATAACGGAAGCAAGAGTGACAGCTAAAGACACCGGAAACGACGTTGGCAATGAATCACAACAATTTCAGGCGACCAAAACAGTCCATTATGTCGCAGGGTGCCACATAATCGACATAACCAGTCTCCATGAGATGTAAATCACTAAATCGCATCTTTCTCCAACGTTCAACAACAATAACAAACCGGAATAGCACGGTTCTACGAAAGCCAATTTTTGGCATTGCACATCCCGATGGGATCTGGCAAAACTGCATGCTCACTGATTATTAAGCCGGATGATGCCGAAAATTTCATCCTCTCACGACTTAACGATACCAGCCTCCTTCGTGTCATGCAACAGTGAGACGCTATAAGATTGTCGTAATAATAAACTAACCGCACCTGTAGATCATCGATCATTATCACTATCGTAGAAACAATGAAAAGCCGACGATAGCTAACAGTGACAAATATGAGCTTCCTTCCAACGGAACCGTGACGTGATGTACAACTTTGGGTAAATTAATTTTTTGCGGCAATTCATCTCTCAGATTCAAGCCATTCTAACAATATTAATTTCTTTGCTTTCCGATTCCATCCATCAGGCAACGTTTCACCACATCTACCGTCGGTCTTGACCTGTACAAGAACAGACATCTTCTGCTCAGAGAATCAACGTAAAAGGGAAAAAATTTTCCACATTTTTCAGGGTGTGATAGAGATGCCATCCGATCTTTCTGTCTGGTTCGTAGTCGAGTTATCCTCTGCAACATAAATCTGCCTTAAGGCATAAAAATATACCGAATACTGTAAAATTCAAACTTGCCTGATACAAGAAGCAAGAGAATACACTGCTTTAAAATCGAAGAAACTTATTTACCAGACCGGTTAGAGCTGAATCGAGAAATGTCGGCCAAACATCACAGCTCTCATAGATGAAAATCGCTGAACACAAAACACCGAGCAGACGTGCAGCGACTGACCAACAATCTCAGAGAAGCTAGAAATAAGTTCATGATCCACATACCATTAGACTATCACTACAGGTTACCTCACTAACCTCACTGAAGAAAGATCTATCGCTACATCAAAAGAAAGTGATCGTACATTCAGCTCCGTAGAACCAAACAGTGGCTAACAACATAAAGAGATTCTGTGGACCGAAAATGTCCTAAACTTAGACGGCTAGTCTCAAGCGTTCTGAAGCACACAACAAATTAGGCGATCATCTATTGACATGTCAAATCGTTTTAGCAGATGATAAACCAACTGGTTTATTTGACTCGAGCTCTGGCAAAAACGACCAAAATGGCACACTGTTACTAATTTTTTTGTGATCAAAAATACGGGGATTGCCCAGTGCGTTCTTGACATTCAGTTGTAACAGCTGTGTCACTGCGCTTAGAGTTGAATGCTTATTTATGCACTACTCTAAATGTTACACTCGTCGACAATGTGTTCATTCTGCTTGAAAATTACTATGTCTTAGGCTCGTGACTCCATCGTCTACGATTTATGGAGAAGATATTTACCGCTCCAAAACATATCAATAGACCACCAGAGTTATTTCGTCGGAAGAGCGTCAGCGTCAGAACTAAGAGGTCATCGATTCGAGCCACTTGCGGTCATTTTTTTCACGACTTTCTTTCTTCCACGGTTGCCACACTGTGGAACTGAAGACGATACGCCACGTCCATTCCATACTGTAGACTCTGCCATTAAAATAAGGCACCTTTGGTTGATGGGATAGAAATCGAGATTAGCGCCGCAAGTGATCTCTAATCATGAAAATGAAACGGGGAAACCGACATCCCAACGGTTACAAGACTATCCTGCTTTTCAGCCATATCCAGCTTTGTTGAACATATCTTACTGCGGTAAGATGTTGCTATGGAATCAATGTAAACAACAGCTTGAGGGGAATCTCATTAGCTCTCGACCTTCAGTCACAATGTGACTGGCGCTGAAAAAGTTTTAAACCACTAGTAGCGTCAATGACCTCCCTGTCTCGTCATCTTATCGACAGTTAACCTCAATCAAGAGTATTACACACGCCATGTCATCCAAAAAAGATCATCATCAGCTTATACAGAATGTTTACGCAATGAATCAAAATTAGTATGTGAATTTACGAAATGTACAATACCAAGAGGAAAGTTTGTCATCGTTGGAATATCCATCGTGCTCACACATTCACGACGTCTGATAGGACCATTTCCTGCGCCCCTCTTTCCATAAGGTTCATTGGGTAGGCGATGATCTCCATTTCCATTGCATCAGCAATGAGCACATTATTCTAAAGACAAAATCCACAGCAGCGATGTGACAAGCATAGTGTCTAGTCTCCTGTTTCCTCACCAAAGAGTGATACTGATTTACCAGACTTAGAAGGAAAAAGGATGAGTAGTTCCAACCGGGGCAGCATCTGCGACAAATCAGTAATGCAGGTGCAAAATATAGAGTATCCGGAAGTCATTTCATCGGTAGATCTCACCAAGCGTCGTCAGTTCAGGAACTAACCACTGCTGCAAAGCATCATGCTATGTCAAGGAAATTAGAAACATCAATACACCCGAGGAGGCGATAGCAAATTCCTTTCATGCATGCGTTCTCATTTTTATTTGTAGGGCTAGTTGCAGTGTTTCCTCCGTTAATGGCATGCGTTTCTACTCTGAGAAGAAAATCGTTCAAGTGACTCAAGATTCAGCGATGACTATTTAAATCATTCGGTGTTGTTGAATCAGTAGTTGCACACAGTATCCGTTGCAAGGAAAAACACCTTCAGAAAGTGCGTTCATCCACTGCATGACAGCTTGGCACCTGGCCTATCGCAGAGCCCATCATACAAATACTGACATGTTAACATCTCAGGATGGAACTTGTCGGAATTTGAAGTATATAATTTTAGTTTCGAATAAATAGCACGTAACATATTTACGATGTGTAAATCATAAGACATCGCCGTCCTAAACGAGATTCTGTGTCATCCATGTTTAATGTACGGCAGCATTAATATTCCATCCATACATTAGTTATCATTCTTGATTTTTTCAACAACATCTTGCAGACATTTAAAAAACTACGGTCTGCTCAACATTACCAATATCCACTCATCTCCACATTTTGAATTTTTATATTACGGTATCTTTATCGAATCTACAAGAAAATGTTCTTCATCGACAGCAGACGTCTTCAGCCAAATAGAAAGATATCTCGCAACGTCGATTCAAGCTACGCAAACATGCCACGCTCACAAATTCATATCAATTTCCATTACCCTTTATCCCTTCGCGTCGATGCGCCACACAGTGCTTCCAACGTTCCCTATATTGTGACTGAGTTTGAGCTTCAGAAGACTTCTTCCATACATTCGCAGGTCAATCTTGGCCGTCCCCTGGGCCTTCTGCTTGTCGGCTGGACAAGCAGTAGTTGCTTCACCTTCCTTTCTGGAGGCATTCACAGCCATTCACCTGCGTAAACGATCGTAGCTGTGACTTCTCAATCAGAAGAAGCAGCGGCTGTACACCAAAGCTTTCGCGGATGCTTGTATTTTGGACCATGTCGTGCGACTTGTCTCAGGAAGCCCATTTCAGCCGCTTGTACCCTGAATCGAAGTTTTTCAGTTATGGTCTACGACTCATGACCGTAGGTAAGCATGGGGATAAAGATCGACTTGAACACTGAGAGCTTAGTTTTCAGACTGAGTTCTGCTGTAGTCACAACTGGTCGGGCTATATCGCAGAACGCCACTGGCTACTCCAATTCGCCGGTGGATTGCAGGCGTGCCTGTAGATCGTTGTGTGGCATCCAATCGCAGGCTTTCTCTACGTCCACAAAGCATATAGAAAGCAAGTAAACCAACTTCCACGATTTCTAGACGATCTGGTATAGGGTTAATATCTCGTCAGATGTGCTTTGGCTGGAGCCGAAGCCACGCTGCTGTTTTTATATTTTGGAGTCAGTTATTCGGCGTCAACTCCTTTCTAGCATTTTTGTGTAGACTTTAACCAAGAGGCATTCCCAACAGTCTCCCTTCTTGAACGGGGCTACTAGAAACCCATTTCTTCAGTCCAACGGTGTCATTCCTG